AAACCATTTCAGGTGACTACCTCTTGAAGCTCATGGAGAGAATGCCAAGAGTGTGCAAAGCAGTAATCAGAGCAAAGGGTGGCTATTTTGAAGAAACTAGAATATAAAACATGTTTTCAGTTATTTCACCTTTTTTTGTTAAGTACATAACTCCACATGTGTTCATTCATAGTTTTGATGCCTTCAGTGAGAATCTACAATGTAAATAGTCATGAAAATAAAGAAAACGCATTGAATGAGAAGGTGTGTCCAAACTTTTGGCCTGTACTGTATATATACACACACACACACACCCATATACGATTATAGCGATATATATATATATATATATATATATAAATAAACACAGCATCATGCGTGTCGGCTCAGATTGTGATTGCGACAACGAGTGTCGTACGCGATAATCCATTTTATCTTGTGTAGTGTGTCATAGTAGATGACAACCAACACCACGTCTGGGAAGCCTCACAGGGTCCCGACAGAGTGTCTAGCATGTTTGATTTTCCTTTTGTCGTTCATGACTTCTCCCGTCACAGCCACCACTCTGACCAATAGAAACACAGAGCAATCCGCTGTCATAGACAGCTGTATGTCAATAAATCCCAGTCTTTATGATATTTCCTCTAGACTACCACACAGAGTGAAAAAGGAAAAATTATGGCGTCAAACAGCAGAGGCAACTTAGCAACCCAGTGAGTACAACTATTAGGGTAACTGTGGATTTGTTTTAACTTGGACCTGTTGTTATTATGTTTTTGTGTGTAAGTGACTATTTGGAACAACAAACTGGTCCAATATTGAGTGAGCAGCAGCGATACAGGCTGCAATGTAATCCCAGCGGGCAACAGTTTAAGGAGGAACAGCTATTGAAAATTGACATTGCCACTCTCAAACCCACCAGACTCCTTTTTAATAAACAGTAATGTTATTACTTCATTCAAAGTCGACAGAAACAAGATAAAACTCACAAAAACCATCCTGGTTCGTCTCTCCACTGTTCCAACAATCACTAACTCTGATTTGGTTGAAATAAACCTTTAACTCAGCCAGTTAGATGTGAAAATATGCTGGCTCTACACATGCTAAAATTACTGTTAACTTATATGGAGTCTAGTGTGTTTAGTAATGGCGATTCTGGGGCCATTTCTGGTAAAATAATAAAGATGTTACTCTTTAACAAAAAGATTAACCTCAATAAGGATCCTTCCCATAATGTTGTCAGACACTTACAATACCAATCTAAGCTTGTCAGTGGCAAAAATAAGCACTTTTGATGGACATACATTGATGGTAATCAATGGCCCACAGTGATTACTTTGTAGTCTGTTTTGCTACTACTGGCTGCAGTGGTCTCACTCAATACTGAACCAATTTCGAAAATGATTGTTCCCATTAAACACACACAGACACAAAAATGTGCGAAACTAGGGTCCAGGGTGGAAAATACCAGTTACCCTTTAATTGACAAATTTCATGAGTGCAGATGGTTCAAGCTTTCCACATTTTATATTTAATAAGATGAAAGACCATCAGTAGCAATTTGATCACAGTACAATTAAAAAACTGATTATGGTGTAGGGGTCTAATTTCAAGTGGCTCGGGTATTCCAGCATAGTAACTGGCTATGTTCATGGGTGGGAAGTCTGCAGGGGTTCTTATCCGAGTGGCTCCATGAGCATTTCCTACTGGCCGGTCAGGCCGAGGGTTGGAACTGGGAGTTTGGGGATTGTGTGAACCTCCCACTTGTTAGGTTTGTAGTTTTCATAATGTGGGCTGCTGAGACACTGAAGGGGAGCACACAGGTTCAGGGGAAAAATAAATTGAGTATGAAGTCGAATAGCTGACCTTTTTCACAGCTGAGATTTTGACACAGGAGTCAAAATAAATATTATTATTATTAATTGCTACAGTGTATTAAAACATATGCTGGGACCAAGCAATTTTTTAATATCAACAGTTACACCTGTGCTTTTCCTGCTATGACAAATCAAGATAAGTGAAGAAGGTCTATGAGGATTCATTTGGATACAATGACGATATTCAAAAAGGCAGTTGCAAGGTGGACTAACTTCTGGCAAGGAAGAAAAAAAACTTAATGTTTGCCTAAACACACTCATACCAAGAGGTCTCTGAATGTAGGAAATACAGACTACAGCATGACACATTTGCAAAAGGTACTGAAATATGTCCCATTGTATTCTGGGAAGACGTGTATATATATATATATATATATACACATACATACATATATATACACACACACACACACATATATATATACACACACACACACACACATATATATACACACACACACACACACATATACATATATACACACACATATATATATATATACACACACACACACACACACACACACACATACACACACCTATATATTTAGTAGAAGTCAGTTAAGGTTGTGCTAATAACCTTGCAACATAACTCATCATTCTAAAGACTATTTGAGTGTAAGGAGAATCAAATCAGGAATAGAAGCTTCGAAGAGGCCGACATACTTAGAGTAGCACTGCCACATGGTGGTCATGACCCACAATGTGTTTCTAGAAAACAAGTCAAGCCAAGCTCAAAGTTCACCATGAACATGTTAGTCTATATTCATTAAAACTTAAATTTGAACAAAAAAACCAATTCATAAATGCAAGACAGTCAAACAATGTATCAACACTCAATGAGCAGTCACTTCCTTTACTGTATGCTGCTGTGTGTTTGCATGTGCAAGCCAATTAAATAAAGTTTATGTTAGCAGCCACTGATCTGAGCTCATTTTTGATTAAGCTGCCAATGAGCAACCTCTCAAAATTGTTTTCTTATTGTTTGTTTCCCCTAGTGTGGGAAAACAACAATACGCATGCCAAAGTGTTTGGCAATGAAAACGGATGGCACATATTTGATGCCAAGTGGGGCTGACTGCCTCTTGCCCTCTGAAAATTGATTGGCTGTTTGTCAAATACTGTTTTTGTCATTTGCTTGTGTCTGGCAGAGGTTAGTATTTCTTTTAAAGAAGACAGTAACTATGGCCACCATGATGTAGACTATCCTCTTCTTTAGCACAAATGTGAAAGTTTACTTTTGAGTAAATACTTATAGTCCCACTTCATTAAAAATGTGTTTTTCTTTTCTGGAGTCCTCTAAAATGTTTGATTTTGATTTGTTGATTTGTATCTGTGCAAAATCTGAGATTCACATGTATGCCGGGCAAGCTAAATTAGTTATGTCACTAATACAAAAGTCAATCCGCGTCGTATACTGTAAAGACACATCAAACAAGGAACAGTCTTCAACACAACACTAGCAAATAAACCCGAAACCCCCAGCACAGAGCAGACTTGTCAGTACAGAGAGCAGAGTTGGTTTTAGCACAATGAAGGTTTTGACAGCAGACATGGCAGAGTGTACAGTTTTTGGTTGTAAACCTGACCAATTGTGAACACACTGGCACATTGTAGCAGATATTACTGTATGTTTGACGATGACTCTTGATGTGTCAACCACTGCCAGCCTTAAAGCTAACAAGCTAACAAACAACATAAACAATAAAAGATGCTCACAACACTTAACATTCTGATATGTCTGCTATCCATCAATGTTGGTGTACAACAGACTCCTTATCTGAGTCTGGGTCTGACTGAGGCTTAAAAACATCTAGCTGAATCTTTCTGTGTTTCATCCAACACTATCTTGTTGCATATTGCTTTTTCACCTGTCAACCTAGCACGAGCAGCGCTGGAGAAAACACAAAGTAAAACCTACCGCAAGCACGGTAGTGGGCGGGGTGGAGACCAGATTGAGAATTTCTCAATGAGGGAGAAGGGTAGATCTGCTTCCAGACCCTTTTTTTAATTTTTTTACTTTTCATGAAAAAAATGGTACAATATCCTGGTTTTAAGTCATGCAATGTAGTTACCGCTCCACAATTTGTTTTCCAACTAAAACCACCACGGAGGGCCGGCCACACACACACACACACACACACACACACACACACACACACAAAAATATATTAATGATTCAACTTTATGCCATGACCGTCTTGCAATGGGATCATGCCAGCCAACATACAGCTCTCCGTGACTTGAAATTAATTTGGGCCACAGGTGTAAAGTGGAAGCCAGTGGCCCTTTCCCAACTTCCTGCCCCCTACTTCCAGCCCTCTTGCCTGGACCACATCCATCTTCTAGCTTGGCTTATATTTTGATCTCATCTACACACCTGTAAAGTTTTGTGACTGCATCTTGCACAGTTGTGATGCTATCAAGTTGACAAAATCTGCCCACAGACAGACAGACAGACAACACAGGGCAAATTACTCAGAACAGTTTCTGTGGTAGTTCCCGCTACAACTGATGTCACCAGGACCACATTTTGCCATGATGACACACGGACTCAGGAGGTGAAACCACTACCAGTCGTCGTGACGTTGTTGCAGCTGGTAATCATTTAAAAGATACACTTTCTGGTGCTGTTAAATTGCATTGTGTTCTACAAAGAGGTGTGTCTGTTATTCAGCCTACCCAAATTGATAAAAATGGGATGAACAAAATAATAGAAATATTTGTCAACACCTGTTTACTGCAACTGTTAAATGGTTTCCACTGTATTAGACTGCATGAGATTTAGCTAGGTGTACATAATAAACCTGCCACTGAGTGTAAACACCTCAGGCATTCAGATGTTACCATCTCTAAATGTGACCCCCCCCCCACGGTAAATGACACATTGATTCACCCAGCGAGACAGATCTTAACACGGTAACAGTGCTTTGTAGAGTTTATATGCTCACTCCCGTCAAGGTCTAAATGAAACACTGCATGTTTGATTTGCAAAACCAGTGAGAAACAGTATATATTTCAGACACTTTAAGTATGGAGAAATGTTCTAAGTCACAAGGATTTTGACTGCAGTACCTGAAAAGAGCCACCAAGGCGCTCCAGAGTGGTGTGAAGAAGGCTTCCTCTAAGCTTGCGAGGCACAGGTCTTTTGAGCTGGCTGTGTTTAGGCATTCAAAGGACAGCAAACACAGTGACAGGAGCTGATCTGAAACATAAACAAATACCCATAACATTTATTATACAACAATTCAGCCTTAAACATTTTCAACAGCAACAGGATATTGCTGCTGAAAATAAACACAGTAACACTTTCTACACATGCAAACATAAGCTATCCACCCTCTGTCATCATGCTTACCAATTGCAATATGAATATCTTTGACGATGGCCTTTAGGTGTTCTCTCAGTGCTCTCATCTCCAGCTCCTGGATGTTTGTCTTATCCTGACCTGGCTGAATTAAGGTATTACAGGTCAGCTCTGAATCAGAGCCAGTGTCATCTGCACTGCCGTGGACAGGAGCCCAGTCCAGCTGAGTCAGGAACTGCTCCAGATCTTCAAACGAATTCTCCCGATCCACTTTCACCTGTGTGTGAGGCTCCTCCCCTCCCTCATCATCATAGCTGGTGTGGAGGTCGTGAGAGAGCGAGGGCGAGAGTGATGAGCTGGTGCTGAAACTCTGACCGCCGACGCTACTGCCCCTGGTCGGCTTCTTCTGGGTCTCTGTATGAGCAATATCATTTCCACATAAACAAACGTATTCATATTGATGTAGCAGCCAGTAGTGATTATAATCTAACCTGTCACTACAGCTCTTGTCACATGGCTACAGCATGGCTCCTTTGCTAGTATCATGTGCATTTTTTAAGCCATGTGAAAAGACAATCTTCCCCCAGGCCCCACCCAGAAATGATCACTTTGAGCTTAGTTGGCAGTTATTGAGCATGGTCAGTAGGTTTGGGCCAATGTAAATTCTACGTGTGATATTTGGAGTGTACCAAATTTTACCACTAGGTGTCGCAATTGACTCAGCAGCTGCTCTACAGTGGAACGTGATGAGTGAGAGGGCCCATAAATGAAGGTGTAGCAAATGATACATGTGCAGTCTAGACAGGAGTAACTCTGCCATGTCTCGTCACCTCGCCCCAGAAAACACAAAAACTTTCTGGTAAATAAACACAACATGGGCAGAGTACCTCTTCTGAAATTTGATCTCCTTTATGTTGCCAGCCTCGGCTCACAGCCGAAAAGACACTAGTGGCTCTATCTGGGGGGGTTGTAGGCATTGCTTAGATGGAGGGTTCATTTACACATACTACCCACACTGTTTTAATACAAAGCTGGTTAAAAATCAGCAAAGTATTTCTTCAAGAGTCCTGAGGATTTGCACAAGTAACACTCAATTCTCAGCTGAGCAGCAGCTCTGTGCCTCGGCCAGAAGAGGGAACAACAAAGGTGGGTACTGCTGCAGTATTTATAAATGCAGAGAACTGGTTGGCAGTGGAAGGAGTGATATCATGGACATAAATTCCACACAGTGAATGTAAATATAACCTAACAGTCCAGAAAATTGAGGAAAAAAAAGCACTATCAAAATTGGGTGGTCTACAAATAAAAGCATACAGTACTGGATTTGACACAGTCTTGCACAGTCGCAACTCAAAAGCTAGATATTTATTTTGTCAGTGGTAAAAAAATATGCTGATAAAATGGTCACTGTCAAATACAACTACTAAAGCCCCCGTTCCTAATGTTTCAGTCATTATACAATCTACTGGCCAACTTTAGCTGAGCACATTTTAATTCCCCAATGTTCAATTAAGGACCAAACCAGCTGCCACAAAACAATAACAGACAGAATCTGAGAAAATGTGAACTCAGCCTTTTCCACATGAACTCATCTCTGGCCCTACCTGGATTAATGAGGTTGTGAGTGCTGCGAGAAGGCCTCAGTAGCCGGGCAGGACTCTGGGGGAGGCCTTTGCTGACGATCGGGTAGAGCCTGTTGTAAATCCGGTACTGGTGTTTTCTTAGCAGTTTCACCACTGGGTGATCAGACTGGCTGAGGACAGAATACAAATGTTAGTTGATGCTCATTTGGCCTGAAAATGTTGAATGTCCTCCTAGAAATAGTGCAATGGTAGCACCCCATAGCTAAGCAATTTCCAATAAGATGTATCATAAGAGAAAACAATTAGGCTGGTGTTTTTTCCCATTTATTTATAATTGATAGCTTATATAACATATTTAAAACCACAAATATTTTCTATTTTATTTCATCTATGACTGACCACAACAACAACACATACAGACTGTATGTCTGTGCAAAAACATAACTTTGTAATTATCTGATTTAAAGGAAAATTTCACCTTGCACATGATAATATATATATCAAATCACTCATCCTGTGTTACATTGAATTCAGGAAGAAAAATTTGTTTTTCTCCCACATCCCACATTTCTCCCACATCTCAACAGTGAATAATCCAAGAGCAGCTTCTCCGTGAACCGTCACCTTATCGTGGTGGAGGAGTTTGAGTGCCCTAATGACCCTAGGAGCTATGCTGTCGGGGCATTTTGCCCCTGGTAGGGTTTCCATGGCAGATTGGTTCTGGGTGAAGGGTCAGACGAAGAACGGTTCAAAAGACCCTTCATGATGGACACGAACAAGGACACATGTACCCGGCCCGGAGGGTTACCGAGGCCCCGCCCTGGAGCCAGGCCTGGGGTTGGGGCCCGTCGGCGAGCGCCTGGTGGTCGGGCCTTCGCCCATGGGGTCCGGCCGGGCCCAGCACGAACCGGCTACATGGGCTCGTCCCCCTGCAGGCCCACCACCCGCAGAGGGATCCCGAAGGGTTCGGTGCAATGTGGATTGGGCAGCAGACCAAGGCAGGGGCCTTGGCGGTCCGATCCTCGGTTACAGAAGTTGGCTCTTGGGACATGGAATGTCACCTCTCTGGCGGGGAAGGAGCCGGAGCTTGTGGAAGAGGTTGAGCGCTACCGGCTAGATATAGTCGGCCTCACCTCGACACATAGTTCCGGCTCTGGAACCCTAGTCCTTGAGAGGGGTTGGACTCTCTCCTTCGCTGGAGTTGCTCCGGGTGAGAGGCGGAGGGCCGGGGTGGGCTTTCTGATAGCCCCCAGACTCTCTGCCTGTACGTTGGGGTTTACCCCGGTAGACGAAAGGGTTGCTTCCCTGCGCCTTCGGGTCGGGGAACGGGTCCTGACTGTTGTCTGTGCTTATGCACCGAACAACAGTTCAGAGTACCCACCCTTTTTGGAGTCCCTGGGACGGGTGCTGGACAGTGCCCCGACCGGGGACTCCATTGTTCTGCTGGGGGACTTCAACGCTCACGTGGGCAATGACAGCGGGACCTGGAGGGGCGTGATTGGGAGGAACGGCCTGCCCGATCTGAACCCGAGTGGTGTTCAGTTATTGGACTTCTGTGCGGGTCGCAGTTTGGCCATAACTAACACCATGTTCAAACATAAGGATGTCCATCGGTGCACGTGGCACCAGGACAGCCTAGGTCGCAGGTCAATGATCGACTTTGTAGTCGTATCATTTGACCTGCGGCCATATGTTCTGGACACTCGGGTGAAGAGAGGAGCAGAGCTGTCAACTGATCACCACCTGGTGGTGAGTTGGATCAGATGGTGGGGGAAGACGCCGCGCAGACCTGGCAGGCCCAAACGAACAGTGAGGGTCTGCTGGGAACGCCTGGCGGAAGAACCTGTCCAGATGATCTTCAACTCCCACCTCCGGGAGAGCTTCGACCGCGTCCCGAGGGCAGAGGGGGACATTGAGTCCGAATGGGCCTTGTTCCGCTCTGCCATTGTCGAGGCGGCAGTTGCGAGCTGTGGCCGCAAGGCCGCTGGGGCCAGTCGCGGCGGTAATCCCCGAACCCGCTGGTGGACACCAGAGGTGAGGGGAGCCGTCAGGCTGAAGAAGGAGGCCTACAGGGCATGGTTGGTCTGTGGGTCTCCGGAAGCAGCTGACGGGTACCGGCGGGCCAAGCGGAGCGCAGCGGCGGCAGTCGTTGAGGCAAAAACTCGGGCGTGGGAGGAGTTCGGTGAGGCCATGGAGGAAGATTATCGATCGGCTCCAAAGAGGTTCTGGCAAACCGTCCGGCGCCTCAGGGGGGGAAGGCGGCAACTTGCTCACACTGTTTACAGTGGGGGCGGGGAGCTGCTGACGTCAACTGGGGACATTGTCGGGCGGTGGAAGGAATACTTTGAGGAGCTCCTCAATCCCACCAACACGTATTCCAGTGAGGAAGCAGAGACGGGGGTCTCGGGGGCGGGTCGTCCAATTTCTGGGGCAGAAGTTGCTGAGGTAGTGAAACAACTCCGAGGCGGCGGAGCCCCGGGGGTGGATGAGATTCGTCCTGGATATCTCAAGGCTCTGGATGTTGTAGGGCTGTCCTGGCTGACACGCCTCTGCAACATTGCGTGGACATCGGGGGCAGTGCCTCTGGAGTGGCAGACCGGGGTGGTGGTCCCCATTTTCAAGAAAGGGGACCAGAGGGTGTGTTCCAACTACAGGGGGATCACACTCCTCAGCCTACCCGGTAAGGTCTACTCCAGGGTGCTGGAGAAGAGGGTCCGGTCGATAGTTGAACCTCAGATTGAGGAGGAGCAATGTGGTTTTCGTCCCGGACGCGGAACCGTGGACCAGCTCTTTACCCTCGCCAGGGTGCTGGAGGGGGCATGGGAGTTTGCCCAACCAGTCCACATGTGTTTTGTGGATTTGGAGAAGGCTTACGACCGTGTCCCCAGGGGCATCCTGTGGGGGGTGCTCCGGGAGTATGGGGTTGGTGGCCCCTTGCTAAGGGCCATCCAGTCCCTGTACCGAAGGAGCATGAGTCTGGTTCGCGTGGCTGGCAGTAAGTCGGACCTGTTCCCGGTGAGGGTTGGACTCCGCCAGGGCTGCCCTTTGTCACCGGTTCTGTTCATAACTTTTATGGACAGAATTTCTAGGCGCAGCCGAGTGGTGGAGGGTGTCAGGTTCGGTGACGGGAGGATCTCGTCCCTGCTTTTTGCGGATGACGTGGTCCTCCTAGCTCCATCGAACAGTGACCTCCAGCTCTCGCTGGGGCGGTTCGCAGCCGAGTGTGAAGCGGCTGGGATGAGAATCAGCACCTCCAAGTCTGAGGCCATGGTCCTCAGCCGGAAAAGGGTGGATTGCCCACTCCAGGTCAGGGGGGAGGTCCTTCCTCAGGTGGAGGAGTTTAAGTATCTCGGGATCTTGTTCACGAGTGAGGGTAGGATGGAGCGGGAGATTGACAGGCGGATTGGGGCGGCGTCAGCAGTGATGCAGGCGCTTAACCGGTCCGTTGTGGTGAAGAGGGAACTTAGCCAGAAAGCGAAGCTCTCAATTTACCGGTCAATCTACGTTCCAACCCTCACCTATGGTCACGAGCTCTGGGTAGTGACCGAAAGAATGAGATCGCGAGTACAAGCGGCCGAAATGAGTTTCCTCCGCAGGGTGGCTGGGCTCAGCCTTAGGGATAGGGTGAGGAGCTCAGACATCCGGGAGGGACTCGGAGTAGAGCCGCTGCTCCTCCACATCGAGAGGAGCCAGTTGAGGTGGTTCGGGCATCTGGTAAGGATGCCTTCCGGACGCCTCCCTTGGGAGGTGTTTCGGGCATGTCCAACCGGGAGGAGACCTCGGGGCCGCCCCAGAACACGCTGGAGGGACTACATCACCCGGCTGGCCTGGGAACACCTCGGGGTTCCCGCGGAAGAGCTGACGGCAGTGGCAGGGGAGAGGACTGTCTGGGCTTCTTTGCTGAGGCTGCTGCCCCCGCGACCCGGACCCGGATAAGTGGAGGACAACGAGTACGAGTACGAGTACTACTAATCTTGGGTCATACTACCTGGAGCCATCTCAAAAGATAACAAAAGGGAAACCAACACTTCTAAACCAATATATATTGACAGGGCTGACGCAATACAACCAAGCAAGACTGAATCAACTTTCTGAACACATCAGTACATGCGCTGGTGTGATGGCAAAACAAAAGCTATCATTCAAATCTGTTTTTGTAAATATTAACACTGCAAAATGTGTAAGAATGATGACTGTATAATAGGGGTCAACTGGTTATTGGCTGTGTTATTCATCATTTTTTTAAATCAGAATCATGTTTTTTTTTCTTTGTCCGATTACTGATACAATAAAGCAATACTACTAAAGGCTACTATGCGTCTGACAGGGAAAGACAAACGCAGACTGGAACTGCTCCAGTGAGCAAGCGAAGCTTTGTGTCCACTGTAAGGAAGCAACTATTTGTGATGTTGCAATAAAATCACAATCTTCAGCTGAAGTTGCAAAAACAAACAGTGTTTCCACTGGTAACATTCCGCTGTGGCGGAAAAAAATATATACACCACAAAATCAAAATCAGTCAAAACCAGTCATAGGATGTTGTCTAGCTCCAGTTCTATGAACACAAGTACTGCAATGAGAGGAGGAAGGAGTGAAACTGCACCCGGATGTGGAAAGAGATACCAGCAGATTACCATAGTTTATAAAAATGCAGTGCAGCGAGGATATAGACATTTCCTACACTAGATGTACATGACGAGGATCTGCTGATGCACATTTGACCCCCATTGGACTGTTACTGAGTCACTCTTGTTTGTTACTTTTAGTAGAGAATCCAGTCTGCAGTGTAGTTCATAAATTCACTAAGAATCATACAATCATATTGAGTTACATTAGGCTTCATGATCAGAGTTTCCGTACTTTGTGTATACTTCTGTCCATACTTCTGTCCATACTTTTTTTTTTAAGATAATGTCAAAAAGTTATCTTTTGCAGCATTTAATTAAACATAACACATTTGTGTTATCTACATTTTAAACAGTGAGATTTTAACTAATAGTCACTATCAGCCCTGAAAGCAACACATTAGTCAACCTCTGTTGTATAAGTGTGTATAGCATTCCTGACTGACAGTAACATGGAGAGTAACTGGCTGAAATGAAGGTTCAAGCTGGTTGAACACCACCTGAAACCTGAAAACTGGTCTGAGACCAGGGTTTACATCAAATTAACTTTTTATAATACAGATTAGTTTTCAGGCATACGTTTCTATAGTGACGAAGATATTCTGCAATGTTTGTATAAAGAGACTTTCAGGGCCAGCATAATTCTCCCTGAATACCCCTCGATTTACTGCATCTAACTGACAAATACACTTAAACCTCTGCTGATGGGGAAGATCAACAATACAGCCACATATACAGTATGGTATGATCTGCTCCGTTTTATTACTCAGCTAAATTTCATGACATCCAGGTGTGTACAGCATTAACTGGGACTGTTACTATCATGGTATGTTACAACTGGAAACCAGCTGTTTGCGTTCAGATGACTGAACATAAAAAAGTGAAGAAAAGCTGATGGACATGTTTTATAAAGATACGTATATTGGTGTTAGAGATTCAAAAAAATGTATAAACGGCCCGTCTGCATATTGAGAAAGAATAGATTTTATATCAAAATATTGAGAAACCTTTTACTGACAAAGGCTTTTTGAGAAGTTGGTTTTTAATAATCCTCCTATCGTCCTAAATTTGTTTCAAGTGACTAGTGACAGAAAAATAATAGTTAGCATGTTAGCCGTTAGCCTAGATACAGCCGGGGCGCATAGTAACGTCAGACCTGTTAAAATGTAAGTGAACAGGCATACTTCAAGTGCAAAGTTAGTTCACTAAACAAGCTTTTTTTCCACAAAGACCGCCTCATATCATTAGGATAAATGTCAGAGAACATATAGAAAAGGACATGTAAACGTGTTGTCTTACCTTACCGGTGTGGTGCCATGTTTGTTTACCATTTAGCTCTGCTTTCCAAAGCGCGACCGAAATATCGAGAGAACAAGCAGCGATCTCATACTGTGCCTGAAATCTCGCGAGACCAAGCAGCAACAGCTGGAAGACAGAACCGGACAGTAGCCTGAAAAGTTCATTCATTTATTTTATGAAAGATTTATAGAATAATGGCTAACTTTTTGCCAGACTTCGACTTTGTGGAGGAGGAATTTGATTTTGCAGAGTTTGATGGCCGCCCTTATTTATTTGAGCCAGAATACACTGACGAAGACCTTCGTGAAATTGAAGAACGGAGGAAGAGAGAGAGAGAGGCGCAACAGGTAGAGGACGAGAGAAGAGGAATGGCTGCTGCAAGGCTTCGTAGCTCTGGAGATTGGTGGTGTACCTGTGAATGCTGTGCCCCAATGCCCACAGAAGAGGAATGCCTCTGTTGCAAGGAATGGGACCAGTTGCAGCCTTATTTTCAAGGTCTGGATGTGACCGAGGATGAGACACCTCCACCTGGAGTAGTATCCAGCTGGGCTCTGTCTAGAGCTTGCGAGATTTCAGGCACGGTATGAGATCGCTGCTTGTTATCGCAATATTTCAGTCGCGCTTTGGAAAGCAGAGCTAAATGGTAAACCGACATGGCAACACACCGGTAAGGTAAGACAACACGTTTACATGTCCTTTTCTATATGTTCTCTGACATTTATCCTAATGATACGAGGCGGTCTTTGTGGAAAAAAAGCTTGTTTAGTGGACTAACTTTGCACTTGAAGTATGCCCGTTCACTTATGTTTTAACAGGTCTGACGCTACGGCTGTATCTAGGCTAACGGCTAACATGCTAACTATTATTTTTCTGCCACTAGTCACTTGAAACAAATTTAGGACAATAGGAGACAGGTTGAAATAAACCGAAATGTCCCTTTAAACTATACCAAAATGGTTGTGTTACCTGAGCAGGTAGGAAACCAGACCTGACACTAATGTGACATCATCAGGATTCTTCTTCAAGTTGGCTTTCCACAGTTTGGGCCAATCCTAAAGAGATTAAAAAATATATATATTTNAAACATGTTTTCAGTTATTTCACCTTTTTTTGTTAAGTACATAACTCCACATGTGTTCATTCATAGTTTTGATGCCTTCAGTGAGAATCTACAATGTAAATAGTCATGAAAATAAAGAAAACGCATTGAATGAGAAGGTGTGTCCAAACTTTTGGCCTGTACTGTATATATATATATAATTGACTTATTGGCAACTATATCAATAACTTCACACAATGCTGATTAGTTGATTCATTTTAACAGGTCAACATAAAATTGACCAATGCCAAATTTGGCAATTGTTTTCTTAAGTTGTGCAAGAACAAGCGTTATTGGAAACACATATGCATAGAGTTGTTGGTCTTGTAGTGTTTCATATATATGCGAAAATACCCCAGGTCAGACACCGGTCAGAGCAAGGAAGTGCAACTCCAGGCATCACTTTGTGCTCTGCTAACTTGTAACGCCATTCAACTGTAATGCCACTAATCTATCAGTTTTTACATATTTATGATGTTTACTCGCAAACTTACATGGTCTTGCTCATATTCCAGCACGTTGGTATAGAGAGCACGCTGCTCTCGCTCCTCTGTGGTCATCGCCCCAGACGCTGCAAATCTCCTGTAATGATACACACACACAAAAGATTTATGTACATCTACACTTGCAGGCACACTATACTTGTCAACCTTGGAAATATCACCCTCATAAGTCATGAGTGTGTGAATATCAAGAGTCACTGATGTTATTTTTTTTGTCTTTATTGAGGAACCACAGTATGAAACCTGCGTTTTTATAGACTGAGTTAGCGTTGACAGAAAGGCTTATTTAAAATTAACCAAATTACTATCACTACACAGGCTAATTTGACTTTCATTTCCTTATAAATTAGTCTGTCAGTTATCCAGTATATATTGTATGTTTACTGCCATGATCACTGAATTAAACACAAATAACAAAGGGGGGACGTACTGATTTTTTCACACATCTGTGTTGATGCAGAATTTAATACCATCATATTCCACTTCCTATACAACTTAATTTAAGCATTGTTATATCATAGTATGGATGTGTCAACAAAGTTTTTCCTCCTTGGGATTTTTGATTGTGTATCTTTAAAATTATGAGCCTCAGAATGATTTCCAAAACTAACTAAACCCTTTCCAAGTATTTACTGAGTGCTTGTTGTTGTCGACAAAAAAACAATAATTCTCTTTCTATCATTTAAGATTGAAAGCATAAGCTAAAAACAGAATAAAGTTTTAACCCAATTGAGTGTGTTTGTCCGTGTGTTTGAAAAACCATGGTTACCTGTTGGCCTCTTCCTGCAGCCTTAGTCTTCTCTCCTCCATCTTCCGCTGAAGCTAATGTTACAACAAACATTAAGGAAACTTCCAAACATCACAGTCCTCACATGGAGCCTATGAGCAATGATGTCTTTGAATTTAAAACAAAGACATCTTTCGATTATAATTTGTGGTGAAGAAACCAGCAAAGATAAACATTCCATTTTTTTGAATATCACCATTTAACAGCTTAATATGATCATTTACAATTATTGAGAGATGGTCACTAGGTCATCTTACACCTGTTAAATGTCTGCTGTCTGTCCTCCTTCACACAGCTCACCACTCCCACTGAGGTGGGAATAGCTGAGAATATGATATTAATTAGGACAAATCAAGTCAAATACGCTATTTTATTCAAGCTTCAAACACTGCCTCAGTGAAAAACATTGAGATTAGTAAACCCAGCCTCTACCCATCCAGCAACAAAGATGGAGACTTCTACAGCACGGTGAAAACAATAAACAAGCTGACATCAGAAGGATACAGCATCCTGCCTGGCTTTAGCTATTATGAGGTTCTCCATCATCTGCCTCTGGAGAGAGAGCGTCTGCAATGAAAAAGACGAGAAGAAATGTCATTCATACAATTAAGAATGATTATGACAAGCATTATGTTAAGTTATATTCAAATGTGAAATTAGCTTATGGTCAGTTTCTAAATATCACCAGGAGAAACAAGAAGTCAAGCAGTAAACACCAACATACTGAGGTAAAAGTGAAAGAAGTGAAATGTAAAGCCACCATGTCATGACCCATCAGAATTCCCATCTAATATCTACAAAATCTAGCCTATACAAAGTTAGGGGGAAAAAAATTGATGCTTGAATTTAATTGAAATGCAGCTGGGGGAAACAGTTAGGCCACATTCATGCACAAGTTCTGGGCATTCAGCAGATGCATTTTCAAGAGCAGTAACTTTAAATTAAACGGAGTGAGTAAATTTCTAAGATATCCAACTTCACAAGCAACCAACTGAGCAAGTGCAAAAGACACAAAACAGTGCCTTTACAGCAGATTATGATACAGTACAAAACAGTAGAAGAAAAGGAGAACCCAGATCCCAAAAAACAACCAAAAAAATAATAAGATACTCCTTTTGGTAACCTTTCTCACTGCAGTCCAACACAAACGCACAGGTTGCTGGAGTTACAGGACACGTGATTCACTTTACATTTAGTCAAACCTGTGATTAGACTAATTGTTGTTCAGTTCTTGTTTTGTTTTTTTGTCCCTACTGTTTAAACTTGTGGATAAAAATGTGTCTTAATTGAGAATAAAATTATATATTAAAAAATGTATTTTAATCATTTCAATTACACAATTCAAAGCACTTAAAGCATTTTGTCACAAATTACATCTTATATTTTCTGTCCTGCTACATACAAATTACTCAAAAGTATTGAAACATTTATTTTAAAAACATTTAAGTGGAATACCACCCATCTCTGACCACGTTACAACCTGCACTGCAACAAGGATAGGGACAACACACAGATCAAAAGCATAAATTAACCATTAAAACATGACTACATCAATCCGTAGTGATATCTGTGACAGTTTGCAACGCCAACAACTTTAGAAACTTCCAGAAACAAGCAATTAAGTAACTTACTGTAACACAAATTCTCATCTAATGTCTGAAAAACATATAATTTTGCTTATGAAAACATACAATTAATGCCGCGTAACAGGTCGTGGCTATTTTATCTAGGTTTATTTATCTTCGCGTGCGCCATTTTAACTATTTAAATTAACGTCACTCCTCTCCTGAGTGAAGTTTAGGTGACACGAAAAAAAAACAGTAGATTTAAAAATATTTTCTGAACGATTTCAGTGTTCCTACCTGCGTTCATTTATTAGCTGATACGACTTTACCTTGAGAAATGCCTTTAGTTTTCTCCAGTAAGCATGGAGCTCCACTTGACGCCGAAACATTTTCCGTATCTGAATGACAAGTTAACATTAATTTAAAGACCTCCAATAGAACACAGCATTTATATCGGGTTAACGTACAATGTTAACCGAAGCAATTAACAAAATGGCTAATGTCACAAATTAAATGTCATGGTCTCCCTTACCATCTTTTTTTCTGACTGGAGGTAGTTTTCACCAAAGAGATGAGTACGAGTAGTAGAGGAGTGTCTGCTCTTTGACTGAGACGATATCTAGCTTTAAATAACCCATGCGGTCCAGAGCAGAGGTCAGTCCACTTCTCCCAGGTACTCATTCATCATCACGTCGCGTCACGTTAACGTCGATATCAGACCGGAAGTACTACCAAAATCCAAAATAAATGCGCATATAATGTCGTTTAAAAATGTTAAGACCACTATTGAAAATAAGTATGAATGAGCTTAATATTTAGGTTACGGGGCGTGTTCCTTAGGTTGATACAGCTATTAAGAGAGCAATCAATGTTTTTTTTTTAACTAATCACAAATACAGAGGCAAAGTTTTCACAAGAGTTCTTCAATCACATGACATTAAAGAGTCAGTTCACCCTAAATCAAAAAATACATTTTCTTCCTCTTTCCTGTCATGCCATTTATCAGTCTAGACAGTTTTGGTGTGAGTTGATATTGGCTGTAGAGATGTCTGCCTCCTCTCTTATATAATGGAACTAGATGGCACTCGGCTTGTAGTGCTCAAAGCGCCAAAAAAATACATTTGTAAAATTCCACAGTAATTTCTCCTCCCAGAAATCATGGTCTGGTTACTCAAGATAATCCACTGACCTTGTTGTGAACAGTTTTATGTAGGAATAATAATAAATAATAATAACACATTGGATTAATATAGCGCTTTTCAAGACACTCAAAGACGCTTGACAAAGAGCAACAACAGCAATCCAATGGGGGGGTAGGGAGGGAAGTAGTCCAGAAAGGGCGGGCGAAGTACACTGAATTTAGAGATTGTAGGCAGTTTTGAACAGATGTGTTTTGAGGGTTTTTTGAAGGTAGAGAGTGTTTAGGGAGTGAGTTCCAGAGGGTCGAGGCAGCAGACCTGAGAGTGCAGGAGGGAGTGTGCTGGTGGAGGAGCCCAGACAGGTAGGGGGGAGCCAGGTTGTGGAGAGCTTTGAAAGTGATGATTTGAAGTGAATACGCTGGGGGATGGGGAGCTAGTGGAGGTTATGAAGGACGGGGGTAATGTGGTCACGGGTGCGGGAGTGTGTGAGAAGACAAGCAGCTGAGTTCTGGATATATTGAAGTTTCTTGAGTGTTTTGGCTGCCAAACTGTAGAGGAGGCTATTGTAGTAGTCTAGAATAATTTCATTTATACACGCATCACAGTGCAGAAGGAAGTGTGCATCTCATGACAAGAGTACAAGAGGCTTGCGCTCCTGAAAGCTTGACTCGTAAACATTATTGGTGTCCTCCTTGGCTGAGCTCTAACATTAGCCAGCTCAGCTTGCTAGGTGAGCTAGCAATAGATGCACGCTTCCAGCTACAATTAGGTTCGGCCGCAGCCTAGCAAAGACCTACACTCTACTGAGTGCACTTTCTTACATTTAAAATACATTTATTGCCCCTTATGATGAGTGGGTAGCAAATGGGAAAATTCCCACATTTTGAAACTTGTTTTAAAATGTTTTCATAATGTTGGACTGAGTGGGGCCTGCTCAGGCTGCTGCTCCGTTATGAAAGTATCGTGCACGACACAGTGCAGTATTTCACATGCAGCTTATCTGCGTATCAGAAATAGGAACCCAAAACAAATTTCAACTTGTAACATTTGTCCGTTGTTCCATCGTCATGAGTATAATGTTATCAATAAATGGGACATGTGTTCCTGCAAGACAACTTCTGGTCTCCAAAAAGTATTTGGTCACAGACTGAAAGGTCTCTCTCCTTCCCTCTCTCTTTCTCTATCACACACGCACGCACAAAAACACATACCAAAGACGTCTTCTGGTAGGCCTGACCAGGTGCGAGCCTCGCCAGACGAGCTTCATAATTGGCTTTCAACTTCTGGTTCAAACGTGATGCTTCTTCAATGGGTGTCAGCTCCCTGCAGCGCGCGCACACACACACGCACAAACAATTAATATGTAACTTGGGTTGTGTCAAAGGCAAATATAACAATCTCTCTTTACACATGTCAGTGTGACAGTCACAGAGAAACTTGCTTTCACTGCTGAATATTTAAAATCAACTTGGCTGACATTCTCATAAAGAGCTCATACAACCACCACCAACATTCACACATGGCAACAACAAAATTCTTTAGGTTAAAAGTAATATTTTGGAGAATATATATTTGTCAATTTACAAATGATCAAAAAATATCTTTAAGCAAAAAGAGAATTGAGTGTGAAGATGCCAGTAAGAGGGAGCAACACATTTAAAACCTTGGAAACCTGATTAAAGACTCTAATATTTGTATTGACGTCAGAGGTTTTTCTTTGTCGCTTTGGTGCATTTCTTAGATTAGAAGTGAAATTCTCAAAACTACTTGTTCAGCCTCCATATCATAAAAGCAATATCATGCTTTTACACAAAGTGAAAATGTTTTTTTACATTCATGCAAATGATTATGTACTTCTTTATTTAAATAACTCCTCAAAACCTACTTTTATAGGAAGGCTGTTTTATAGTAAATCTGGTATTTGTCTAGTTTTTATCCCTCTTTTATCAGTTTTACTATTTTTTTATTACACACTGTTTTATTCGGTCCTAGCCTATGCTCAGTGTTTTTTTACTTACGATATTACTGTTTTTTTCTTGAAGATGTATATTATTTTGTCTTGTAAAGAACTTTGTAACTGTGTTTTGAAAAAAAAAAGTGCTATAAAATTACATGTTATTATTATTATGACAATTGCCTGCTGTTTCTTACATTACCAATTGCTTATGTCATCAAAACGTATTATAATGGCTCTCTGCTTGAATAGTCTTACCTTGCTAAAACATCTAGGTAGTTCATTGCATAAGTTATCACATGCAAAGTGGCTGAACCAGTTTTCATAATCTGTTAAGCATATTTTCTTTTCATTTCTATTACACTTCTTTTGTAAATGTGTCCTGAACTGATGAATTGCTCTTAGGTGAATCTTGACTTTCACCAAGGAGGGAGAATGAAGCCTGAGGTCATCCCATTATTAATCGGTTCTCTAAAATAGCTCATACATGTGCATCTTACATGGATAAACAATCAAAGAGATTGTTTCCTTGCTGCATTGCGAGGAAAGATACCCGTGGTGATGATAAAAATCTGCAGCGTGACAAACAGAAACATGAGGAGGTGCAGAAAGACAGCAGGGTAATTCCCCACACACCGCTGCATGTGCAGTTCTGCCTAAGGGGTGTTTCCTATGTTTACATTTCTCATTTTGTATTTTCGTTCCCTATGCAGTGCTGGGAAACAGTCTTCTCTTTCTCTTTTCCGTGTTGCAATGACATGGTCTGTCAACAAATGACAGTAAAAACACTAAATGTGTAAACGAGAATCCTTCTCAATCTCTTGCAATCAATCTCTCACAAACAGTGATGTCTAACTTTCTATTTGAAATGCCAGAAAAAGTGCCACCTTGTGCATTTTCAATTATCGTAATCAAAACCTTTACCGTAGTTTACATCAGGAAAGTACACCCTTATATTGATAACATGGAAAAGCAATTTGGCTATCTTGATTGTAAACAATGACACAAGAGGGGTGTACCATGAAGTGAGATTAGTGGGTTGGAAAGGTATGTTGAGTCTAAAGCCAGGGTTTTTCTGTGTCCGAAGGTGGCTCTCTTTTAACCTGGCTAGATCATCAAAGTAATTTATGCTACATGACTAATCTAGTCTGGAGCAGGTTATATTCAATGTTTCAACTATAAATTGGCTAAAATGTGGCTTTCACTAATCATTTCCTTTGGAAATAGCATAATTTTATAGTCAATAGTAAATCTATGAGTGATACAGATTGTCAGCCAAGGGAATATGTTGTTAAGTGCACCATATCAAACCTGTTGAGCAGTAACCAAACTAAGCCGTGCAATTACAGTAGCACTTACTGTACACGTCACGTTGCAACATATATAAGTGATGTAAAAGAGCTGAGCAAGAATTCTTTGTTTTTTTGTTGTTGTTTTTTGCAAGGTTGTTGCTGCTCTCACTGAGCTACTGAATGTGTTTGTAGTGTTTTCTGATACATTTGCCCACACCAGCTTTGCAAGAAGCCCTCTGTAAAAGCACAGGTAGCATTAGCCTATATAGCCTGTTTATCACTGCTAGTATATAATAAATGGAACATCAATTAGATAACTGATTAGTGTATTAGTATTTATCACAGATATTATTCAATCAATAAAATTCCCTTCATGTCGATTTGGCCAAAAACTAAAGTGATTTCATGTCCCCTCATTGTGGGACAGTAAACGACAGTGTCAGTAAACATACATGCAGTTTGTCTTCCCGGACAGTGAGCTCTGGAACTTTTGCCTCATTTGAACTCTCAGTGACTAAAGTTGGGCATGCTAACCCATTTCATTGTGTTTTAATTTATCGCCCTCCTGGTGTTAATGGCTCTTTTTTTTATCCGAATTCAGTGACTTCTTAGCCTCCATAATTAAATTTGAGAAAATCCTCCTTCTTGGTGATTTTAACTTGGCCGTAAATGACACCACAAACACCTTTGCAGTGAACTTTTTAAAAGTCACTGATTCTTTCAATTTTACCCAACATGTCAGCGGCCCAACACACATTAAGGGCAACACTCTGGACCTGGTTTTCACGCATGGATTAAAATTAGACATTATCGGCTCTGAGGAGCTGCTTGTGACTGATCACGAATGCATTCTCTTTAATGAGTCTTTTAACACTGATTGTACATTCAGAAAGCGTGTTATTTGTTCACCTATGTTAAATGACCTGTCTGCCAAGAAATTCTCCTCTGGTTTTAACAACAGCATAGGGCAGCTTTTTGGTGATGAGAGTGATGCTAATTCTCTAGTTCACACTTTTAACTCACATTGCTCCGTTACATTAGATGAGATTGCTCCTCTGAAACCCCGTACAGTCGCTACTATTAATTCTACCCCCTGGATTAAAGATGACATTCGTTGTTTTAAACACAAATGTCGCCGTATCGAGTGCCTGTGGAAGTCTATAAGGCTTCAGGTCCATCATATTTATTTTAAAGAACTCTTAACAGAGTATAACTCAATGGTTAAAGCTGCTCGGGCCTCTTATTTTGCTGACCTCAAAGTTGTTTTTGACACTATAAATAATCTTGTCTATTCCCAGCCTCCTGCGGTGCCCGTCTTCTCTGTTAATGACTGTAACAATTTTCTGTCATTTTTTGTCAACAATATTGCTAGTGTCAGAGCAAGTATTACCCCCTCTTCTGCTCCACCCCCTGCTCCTCCTTTACGGCAGCCAATACCGGATCGTTTCTTGTCCATCCCCCTAGAAGATTTAACTAAGCTAGTGAGCAGTATGAAGATCTCCTCCAGCCCGTTAGACATCTTGCCCATGTCTCTACTGAAAAAAGTTTTTGGTTCCATCGGCTCTTCCCTGCTCTACATTATTAATTGCTCACTGGTCTCTGGCTGCTTCCCATCCTATTTTAAACAGGCGGTTGTCCAGCCGCTTCTTAAAAAGCCCAATTTGGACCCTTCATTATTTAGCAACTTTAGGCCCATTTCTAAATTGCCTTTTATTTCAAAGATTTTAGAAAAAGTCGTTGCTAACCAATAGTCCCTGCCCTAAATAAGCATTGTATCCTTGACAAATTTCAATCTGGTTACCGTCAGAAGCATTCCACTGAGACAGCACTTCTTAGAGTGTCTAATGACATCATGATGGCCTCTGACACTGGTAAATGTACCATCCTAGTGCTGCTTGGCCTTAGCGCAGCCTTCGATACCGTGGATCTCCACATCCTGTTAGACAGGCTCAGTGACTGTGTTGGCATTTCAGGCAGTGCCCTTGACTGGTTTGCCTCCTAACTCTCTGGTAGAAGTTTCTCTGTAGCATCTGGTCCTTGTATGTCTGAGTCTGTCCCCCTTTCTTGTGGGGTGCCTCAAGGCTCAGTGTTGGGTCCAATTTTGTTTGCCCTGTATATGCTTCCTCTTGGAAACATTATCAGCAGGTTTGAGGGTGTATCATATCATATGTACGCAGATGATATTCAGATGTATTTTTCTTTTAATCCTGACAGGACTGACAGTCTGAATGTACTGCATGACTGTTTTTCTGCAATTAATGACTGGATGGTCAACAATTTCCTCCAGTTTAATGCTGCTAAGACAGAGGTCCTTACTGTCGCTCCTGACTGTACTGGTTCCAAGGTGGCTAGCTGTATTGGGTCCCTGAATTCAAATATCCGCTCTAACCTGAGAAATCTCAGAGTTATTTTTGACCAGGCCATGCACTTTGATAAACACATCCATGTGTTGACCCATACATGCTTTTTCCACCTTAAAAACATTGCAAAACTGAGATCTGTTGTATCACATGGGGAACTGGAAATGATCATTCATGCCTTTGTGTCATCACGTCTGGATTACTGCAATTCACTTTTCATGTGTCTCAGCATAACTTTTGTAGATTGCCTCCAACTGGTGCAGAATGCTGCTGCCAGGCTGTTTACCAAATCACCCAAAAACTGCCACATTACTCCTGTCCTGGCCTCCCTACACTGGTTTCCTGTCAGCTTTAGGATCCAGTTCAAAATCCTTGTTTTAACATATAGAGCCCTTCTGAGTATCTGTCTGACCTGCTGCATGTATACGTTCCTAGTAGGACACTTAGGTCAGCCAATCACGGCCTGTTGGCAGTTCCTCGCACTAGGCTCAGAACTAGAAGTGACCAGGCCTTTGAGTCCATTGCGCCCAGATTGTGGAATGCCCTCCCACAGAATTTGAGAGCCGCAGCATCCGTTTTTAAGAAGCACCTTAAAACCTACCTCTATAGGCAGGCATTCTTCAACTTGTCTTAAGTGACTTAGTTTTACAACAACTGCTGCTGTTTCATTTTGTGTCTCTCTATGTTTGTATGTATGTATTCTTGGTTGTATTTTAATCCTGTGAAGCACTTTGTGAGTTCTCTCTGTGAGAAGTGCTATACAAATAAATTTTACTTACTTACTTACTTCTTGAGTATAACATATACATCTGTTGGCTGGCTCTGGCTTTGTGGAACTTGCTTCGTGTTACAGCTGTAAGGACTTGTCGATATAATGGCACTGACATGTTCACTGACATTAATATTTACTTTTGAGTGATAAATTAGGGATTTTAAGCAAGTTATGAGCTTTTGCAGTGTGGTGCCATTTGTACAAATTATTTTGACAAACACACCTACTGTTGTGCAAATGTTAAGGATGTTTCAATAACTGTACCAAAGCGACTGAGAAAAACTGTAAGAATCATCAGTGAGTGTAAGAATCTGATGTTCTGACCTGCTTGGTCAATTCAATGCGTACTCTGAATGGAAACTAGAAGTAACTGGTTCTTGGAAATCTCTGCTGTGTTGCTCACTTCAGAGAATATCTGTCAATAAATGGATCAATATTGGTCCTCCTTGATAAAGAAATGACCCCTACTTTTTGCTTGTGTCCTGTGACTCCACTGTCTGCTGTTTCTGGAAGACTTCAGGAGGCAGAAAAGGGGAGAGTTCGCTGCTACCATCTGACAACACCCTGCGGTGACCAGTCTTTGTCGGGCTGGTTGCCTTACGCCCCGCGTTAACAGCAGTATGAGTTGGAGGGACTGCGGCAGCAGAGGTGAAACAGAGAGACAAAAAGTTGTTACTGGTGTAAAGAACAAAATCACAAGGCTATACAGTACAGGCCAAAAGTTTGGACACACCTTCTCATTCAATGCGTTTTCTTTATTTTCATGACTATTTACATTGTAGATTCTCACTGAAGGCATCAAAACTATGAATGAACACATGTGGAGTTATGTACTTAACAAAAAAAGGTGAAATAACTGAAAACATGTTTTATATTCTAGTTTCTTCAAAATAGCCACCCTTTGCTCTGATTACTGCTTTACACACTCTTGGCATTCTCTCCATGAGCTTCAAGAGGTAGTCACCTGAAATGGTTTTCCAACAGTCTTGAAGGAGTTCCCAGAGGTGTTTAGCACTTGTTGGCCCCTTTGCCTTCACTCTGCGGTCCAGCTCACCCCAAACCATCTGGATTGGGTTCAGGTCCGGTGACTGTGGAGGCCAGGTCATCTGCCGCAGCACTCCATCACTCTCCTTCTTGGTCAAATAGCCCTTACACAGCCTGGAGGTGTGTTTGGGGTCATTGTCCTGTTGAAAAATAAATGATCGTCCAACTAAATGCAAACCGGATGGGATGGCATGTCGCTGCAGGATGCTGTGGTAGCCATGCTGGTTCAGTGTGCCTTCAATTTTGAATAAATCCCCAACAGTGTCACCAGCAAAACACCCCCACACCATCACACCTCCTCCTCCATGCTTCACAGTGGGAACCAGGTATGTGGAATCCATCCGTTCACCTTTTCTGCGTCTCACAAAGACACGGCAGTTGGAACCAAAGATCTCAAATTTGGACTCATCAGACCAAAGCACAGATTTCTACTGGTCTAATGTCCATTCCTTGTGTTTCTTGGCCCAAACAAATCTCTTCTGCTTGTTGCCTCTCCTTAGCAGTGGTTTCCTAGCAGCTATTTGACCATGAAGGCCTGATTGGCGCAGTCTCCTCTTAACAGTTGTTCTAGAGATGGGTCTGCTGCTAGAACTCTGTGTGGCATTCATCTGGTCTCTGATCTGAGCTGCTGTTAACTTGCGATTTCTGAGGCTGGTGACTCGGATGAACTTATCCCCAGAAGCAGAGGTGACTCTTGGTCTTCCTTTCCTGGGTCGGTCCTCATGTGTGCCAGTTTCGTTGTAGCGCTTGATGGTTTTTGCGACTCCACTTGGGGACACATTTAAAGTTTTTGCAATTTTCCGGACTGACTGACCTTCATTTCTTAAAGTAATGATGGCCACTCGTTTTTCTTTAGTTAGCTGATTGGTTCTTGCCATAATATGAATTTTAACAGTTGTCCAATAGGGCTGTCGGCTGTGTATTAACCTGACTTCTGCACAACACAACTGATGGTCCCAACCCCAGTGATAAAGCAAGAAATTCCACTAATTAACCCTGATAAGGCACACCTGTGAAGTGGAAACCATTTCAGGTGACTACCTCTTGAAGCTCATGGAGAGAATGCCAAGAGTGTGCAAAGCAGTAATCAGAGCAAAGGGTGGCTATTTTGAAGAAACTAGAATATAAAACATGTTTTCAGTTATTTCACCTTTTTTTGTTAAGCACATAACTCCATGTGTTCATTCATAGTTTTGATGCCTTCAGTGAGAATCTACAATGTAAATAGTCATGAAAATAAAGAAAACGCATTGAATGAGAAGGTGTGTCCAAACTTTTGGCCTGTACTGTATATTGGCTAATTTTAAATTGGGAGCCCTGCAGCAGGCTCTGAGTTAGCCGTGATTGAATGGTATGTTAATAAAAGACATGATTCTGATTCACCATTGTTTGCAGCACTGGCAGCTGGGATGACAGCAGTCTGATGGGGCTCTGACTGGCCAGGCAAACAGGTAGCGGAGACAGAGGCAGGGAGATCAGGGGGGTCGGCTCTCTTCCCTATAAATGACTTGGCTCTCTCCAGACACTGCTCAGCCAACCTCAACATCCGCTCCACATCCACCGCAACCATGATCCTCTCCTCCGAGGCTGTGACGGAAAGACAGAGACGACTGAGAAAGTCACTGGATGATTGGTCTAATGCAGGTCTACCATATAAAGGTCATCACATGGCATTTGAGATCTGATTCAATTACGTGCTAACACACAACCACTATACTCAAGTTGATTAGTTCAAGTCTAGTTAGAATTCTAATCTATGTCTGCAGGCTGCGCTGCGCTATCTGTGCTCTGCTTCTCCCCATGAGTGAAGTCGGAACTGGTCACTGACTGTCACATGTTCAATCCTTGTAGGATTTTCTCTTGGTCTATAAACTTATCAGTTTAATGGTCCAGAAAAGAGCTGACTGTGCACAAATTATCTGAATAATTTGAATATTGCAACTTGCAGGTCAAATACATATACCCCCATCCTCAAATACAGCATGTGAAACTGGCTTTAACTGCAATAAATTAGATAATAAGTTGGCGTGTGAGATTTCATTACATACAGTCAGGTCCATAATTATTTGGACAATGATACAGTTGTCATCATTTTGGCTCTGTACACCACCACAATGGGTTTTAAATGAAACAATGAATACCTGCTTAAAGTGCAGATTCTCAGCTTTCATTTAAGGCTTTTTTCAAAAATGTAGTATGAACCGTGTAGGAATGACAACCATTTCTTCACACAGTCCCCCAACTTTAAGGGCTCATAAGTATTTGGACAAACTAACATAATCATCAATTAAACAGTCAGTTTTAATACTTGGTTGCAAATCCTTTACAGTCAATGACTGCCTGAAGTGTTGGACACATAGGCATCATCAGATGCTGGGTTTCTTCCCTGGTGATGCTCTGCCAGCCCTTTACTGCAGCCGTCTGCACTTCCTGCTTGTGTTTTGGGTGTTTTGCCCTCAGTTTTGGCTTCAGCAAGAGAAACGCATGCTCAGTTGGATTCAGGTCAGATGATATGACTTGGCCATTGCAGAACATTCCACTTCTTTGCCTTAAAAATGTCTTTGGTTGCTTTTGCAGTATGCTTCAGGTCAATGTCCATCTGCACTGTGAAGCATCGTCCAATGAGTTTTGAAGCATTTGGTTGAATCTGAGCAGATAATGGTGCCCCAAACACTTCAGCTTTCATCCTGCTGCTCTTGTCAGCAGTCACATCATCAATAAATACAAGAGAACCAGTTCCACTGGCAGCCATACATGGCCATGACATAACAGTACCTCCACCATGCTTCACTGATGAGGTGGTGTGCTTTGGATCATGAGCAGTTCCTTCCCTTCTTCCTTCTCTTGTCTTCCCATCATTCTGGTAGTTGATCTTTGTTTTATCTGTCCATAGTATGCTGTTCCACAACTGTACAGGCTTTTTAGATGGTTTTTGACAAACTCTAATCTGGCCTTCCATTTTTAAGGCTAACCAATGGTTTGCATCTTGTGATAAACCCTCTGTATTTATTCTAGTGAAGTCTTGTCTTGCTTACAAGAGCAGCAGGATGAAAGCTGAAGTGTTTGGGGCACCATTATCTGCTCAGATTCAACCAAATGCTTCAAAACTCATTGGACGATGCTTCACAGTGCAGATGGACATTGACCTGAAGCATACTGCAAAAGCAACCAAAGACATTTTTAAGGCAAAGAAGTGGAATGTTCTGCAATGGCCAAGTCATATCATCTGACCTGAATCCAACTGAGCATGCGTTTCTCTTGCTGAAGCCAAAACTGAGGGCAAAACACCCAAAACACAAGCAGGAAGTGCAGACGGCTGCAGTAAAGGGCTGGCAGAGCATCACCAGGGAAGAAACCCAGCATCTGATGATGCCTATGTGTCCAACACTTCAGGCAGTCATTGACTGTAAAGGATTTGCAACCAAGTATTAAAACTGACTGTTTAATTGATGATTATGTTAGTTTGTCCAAATACTTATGAGCCCTTAAAGTCGGGGGACTGTGTGAAGAAATGGTTGTAATTCCTACACGGTTCATACTACATTTTTGAAAAAAGCCTTAAATGAAAGCTGAGAGTCTGCACTTTAAGCAGGTATTCATTGTTTCATTTAAAACCCATTGTGGTGGTGTACAGAGCCAAAATGACGACAACTGTATCATTGTCCAAATAATTATGGACCTGACTGTATATACACAGTTAAGTTATTTCTTGTCCGGTCTTTCTGATGGGATGGGAATCACCTGAGGCCCCACAATACAGTATTAACACAATACAATTTTATTGCACTTTTAAATGTTTTCCATAAGGCTAGGCAAATAATGTCCCAAAAGAAAAACTTTGTCAACATCTGTAGTCAACATCTCACTGAAAAAGAAACTAATTTTCTTATTCTAATCGGCTACCAAAAGTTAAATTTGTGTTTGCAATATTGTCAGTTTATAAAAATCAATATTTGCCATTCATGTATCAATACAAATATTGCCACGCAGAATACTGCGATAAAATGCTGTACCTATTTCTCTCTTCTCCCTATTAAACTGTGCTGAGTTTCAAAACAATAAGCTGGAAGGACATTTTTGGATTTGAGGGGCCAGACTGAGGTCAGTAACAAAAGAGTGTGTCTTTGAATGACAAATAAAAATCAATAGCTTGATAGTATTGATTTCTCTGTAAGTGTAGGTTACATACTTGGGTGAAAACAGCAAGATAATTCAGCAAAATGAACACATTTAGCGGTGATATTTTCACAAAGGTTCAAGATGAACATTCAATGTGAAGCCCATTTTAAAGGTATTATAATGTTGCAGTTGTGACATTATATACATGTGAACATGTGCCCATGAACATGTGCCCATGAAAGTAAAATCACCCTAAAAAAAACAGCACAAAAGCGTAGGGTAAAGTACAGGACCCACAGCACCCCATTGTTGATGATATAAGATGCCTACAGCGACTGGTCTGTCCACACTATTGTGGAGAATAGTGGAGAATCAAGTCTCTACTTTCTTTAGATCCTACACTTAATTGTCAGTTGATGCGAACTTGTTTCTGTGAACTCACATAGAGTAAAACATGGAATCCCAGGACTTTTCATGCCCACGATGAAGGCATAAAAAAGCATGTTGCAATGACACAGGACAGCTCCATCAAAAAGAGGTCCAAGCTGCTTTGCCAATAAATAAAAGCCTATTTCACAGTCTGTATTGATGTTATAGTTCTAACCCGATAACGAGGCAGGTTTAACTGCTACATATTTGAATGAAGGCCTTCAAAAGTGAAAATTTTTTTTCTTAGTCTGAAATGTATTCATTTGAGGCCCATTAGAAAATTGTGTGCCATAGGCAAAACTGAGTAAACATACAAAAGGGAAAATGATCATGAGGTTTGATGTTTATCATAAAGCATCTAAGGACCACACAGAATCTGTGCCCGCAAAAAAACTCCAACAACACCTCTGCAGATTTTTTTTCCACTGAAAAAATGTTATCTTGATTAAATACTATCTATCACATTAAAAGAAAATTTCACAGATTGTCATTCCAGATCACTGCTGAAAACTGTGGGGAACAAAAATCTGCAAAGTCTGTTGGGGTCTGAGCATCAGTCTTGATATATGTCAATACTCAGATCTTACTTTGTGAACCAGTGTCCTCCAAAAGTGCATGTGATATGTAGTTGATGGTCCGGAGATATTCACAGTAAGCTTCCTGCAGAAAGACCATAAGCATGTAGTATTGTATTATTATTATTATTATCGTGATACACAGCAAACATCATAATAACTACGGCCAATGACACATTACAATAGTAAAAAGTACTAAAGAATTAAAGTAGTAAAGAATTAAAAAAAAGCATTAGCCATTGTTTCTAAATTTGAAACCTCAAGCCGAAAATGCAGCTGTTTTTTTTTTTTTTTTTTTATGTTAAAAATACATATTACCGTTAAACTTCAATTAAAAGCCTAGTCCCAGTTAAACGCCCAGTCCCTTTTACTGGCCTGGTGTGGCTACACATTTTGACAAATAAAGGCCTGTCTCAATTAGATGCCTGGTCTGGTTGCCAAACTGTTATTTTCATATAAGTTCTTTGGATGTGTAAAACTGTATTGTTTCCTGCCCTCCTGAGCTAACAATAGTTAGATTGTGCATAGGTTTAACTTTTGTCAATATGGAGATGTTACACATTGTTAGCTTGGTTGATTTCACTGTACTGAAACAACGAGCACCAGAGAAGACCCTGAGTCATTCAGATTTACCATCGTGACAAACAACAAATGGTGACTCCCTTCTTCTAAAGCTGTCTTAAAGTCAGAATATGTGTCCAGTCCTCGATTACCTAGACAGTTATTTATATTAATTTAATCCTTAAAGGTCCATCAATCAAAATAATCAAAAGTGTTTTTCATAAAAATTAATCCAAGTTATGAATAATGTTTTAACGGGATTAAGTAGTGTTGTGTCGGTATGGCGGGTGCTGTTATCCTCAGGTGCTATCTAACAAGTGTCATAAAATAACTGATGTTATTTGAAGCCTAATTTTTATACAAGTAATATTCTTGGCTGAGCAACAGTTTTGTGTGAAAGGAATTAAAGGCCGGTCCCATATAGCCGGCTGTCCCAAATATAAGCCTGCTAAGTTCAGCAATTTAAGCAAATAATAGCCCTGGCTACTAATTGAAGTTTTATGGTGTGTAAAAATTGAAAAAAGAGATATCTAGTGTCAAATGTCCTCATTGACTTAATATCTTAATAACTGGCATACATAACGTTACTTCCTGTGATGAGAAGGATAGCACATGTAATACTGATATCATGTTACAGCTTATTAAGGCGAGATATGTGAAGCAATTTAACCTACTAGGAATATTATCTGTCTGTATTCTCATTAGTTGCACCTGTCTAATTCAATTTGGTGATCTAACGTTATTATAATACTCTGAAATAAAAAGTGGCCTCAAGTGTTTATTAGCACGTTTTATTCGTGTTTCATTAAAAGTGAAAAGGCAATAGTGCTTTTATAATAAATAAACTTCTTCTAAAATTACATTAGTGATACCTACAATAATAGTGAGTAGTCAGTGAAAAAGTGCAAACATTTTAAAACAACTGAAATTAATAAAATGAACATTAATAGCGTTGAGCAGTGCAATGACACCTGACTGTCAGTGATAACAACAACACACCTCGGTGTTTAACTGACAGGTTAGCTAGCTAACCCTCTAACGGTTTCCGCCCCCTCCGTCTGTTTACATCACTACACAGTGTTTCCTCTGTGGTAAACACCTTCGTGTCATGGCTGCTGTCAGGCTGTGTAACACACTACCTTGTGTTTGTTCTCTCCGTCCAGTTGTATCGCTACTTTTGCCATTTTCATAGCATTTTGAAGGGGCTTCACCCCACTGTCAGCTGTAGCCATGGTCATTCCAGATCCGGATCCTCTGCTTTTCCTCTTCTCCGTTTCCTCTTTCTTCTTCGCTGTGCTCAGTCATGGCGGTCATATACACAATATAAAGACACATACTGCCACCTACTGTAGGGGACTGGCAGAGTCAAGGCACTTACTCATCTGAATACTGATGTTACAGTAATGGATATATTAACGATTGTTATGTTTTTGGGTTGCTCGTCCGTCCCATTCTCTGTACACGCCATACCTCAAGAACAGCTCAAGGGAATTTCTTATCATTTGGTACAAACGTCCCCTTGAAATCAATAATGAACTGATAAGATTTTGGTGGTCATAGGTCACAGTTCAAAGTCACTGTGACCTTATTTGTCTCATCCTTGCACACACAAACAGCTCAAGGGAATTTCTTCAAATTTGACACAAATGTCAACTCAAACAGAAGAATAAACTGATTACAGTTTGGTGATAGAGGGTTGAAGGTCAAAGGTCAAGGTCGGTGTGACCTCACAAAACATGTTTTTGGCCATAACTCAAGAATTCTCATGCAAATAATGGCAAAACTTCACACAAATGTCAAATAGGATAAAAAGAATGAAGTGATGACGTTTTACATCTAAAAGGTCAAAGGTCAGCTTCACTGTGACATCATAATATACTACATAAAACACTTATCTGGCCATTATTCAATGTCATATCTCAGGAACAGAAGGGGAGACATTTGGTCAGATACTGAATTGGTGACACTCATCTTGGGTGCTCAGCTTGAAACTGAGTTGATTGTATAGATCTTCTGTGCTGCCAGAGGGGAGAAGTGTGTCAATGTATTTACAAACATGGATGTAAACTAGATAAGAGAAACTTGACTGGTACGTGGAGCAATACCACTATATAATATAATTTTGATTTGTTAATAAAACACAGATACTATGCTATTAAAACAGTCATAAAACAGTTTATGATTCAAAAGGTTGTTTTTTTTTTTAATTGCAAAAAAAATTGGATGGATTAGCCCACTGAACAGGCCAACAGGGCACAGGCTCATGTCCCCAAAGCATTAGCCCCACCCCCCAGCATTCACCAGCAAAATGTTACTCTATTTAATACGTACAGATCAGGAAGACACACAAAAAGACCACAAATAAACACAAAGCTACTGCAAAGAGATACAAAATGACTACAACTAGGGACAAAACAACCATAAAGAGACACATGTAAATAGAAATAAAATGACAAAAACAATTTCAATTGCCTTTATTTAAATATTCACAAGAGATTGTTTCTCTCTCTCTCTCTCTTTTTTTTTTCTTTTGTGACACCCATGCAAAAAAGCTGTTGTGCTGTTAACAGTGAATCCATTTTTAAAGCTGCATCTGGTTCCTGATCTGCATGAAAACACACAGTGATACGATGATGTGCTGATTTCCTGATAACCATGATTTTTGGATATTGTCTAAATCATATCCAGGAGTATTAAGGTTGTGTATGTGGATGAGTTGTGCAAAATTTCAAGTAACTCACACTTATGACTGTGGTGTTATTGCCATTGTGTTGTTAGTATTTGCAATTACATAATGAATTTAAGAGTTACAGCAGATGCTGAATTTGCCACACCTCAAAGATATAGACAACCAATTGTAGGAAAAATGTGGGATGTATCAAATTCGCCCATTCATGATTTTTTTCAGGCTAATACAGGCTTGATTGTGGCCTATACTGAGAGATTGGACCATGAATGCAAGACAGATGCTGGGAGCATTTTAACATGCTGCAGTATGCATGTGTATATGTTCTTCTATTCTCATTGCTAACTTCCTGTGGTTGATTTTGTCAACATACTGTGACCAATTATGCACTTAGTATGCCCTACTAGAGAGGCGTTTTGTGACTTCTTCTAAGTAATGCCATCTTACATTAACCTTTAGACATGAAAAAGATAATGCAGGATTGAATCACTCTGAATAAAAAGTTACACTACACAGTGTGCAGGTCTTCTCCTTTGTGAGCTAAGTTAAAAGCAAAATTGCAATACATCACAAATCTGTGAGAGTTGACAGCTATATTAAGTTGTATACAGCATTTTTATTTTTATTTTATGAATGCATATATCGATACATTTGTAGAATGCAATTAAAAAGAATAAAGCAATCAGCAAAACAATCAATAGCTGCACTAAAAACCGTCTTGGAAAAAAGATGTTTTCATTATTATGAAAGATCAGACGGAGCTGTATCGTGGCTTGAGGGTGAGTAGATGGAGATGTTCCATCATTTGGTGCTGAATTGCTGTTGGTTGAAAGCTCTCTGTGCCCAGTTCAGATTCTGGCTCACACAGATCTCATTCCCTCTGGCAGTGCTGACCCTGCAGAAGAAAAAAAATTCAGTAACAACACAGTTAGGACTGAAAAAAATAATTTTCAACATTTTATCTGTTGTGTTTTAATCAGTCAATCAAAATATATAAATAAAGTGTAGACATTACATAGAATGAATCATACTCAAAGCACAATATAAAAACATGTACATGCAAAAACACAAGAGTATTAATCAGTGTCTTATATAGAGACAGCTATACCAATGCCTCCCAAACTGGGATTAGTAGAGTGCAGTATTAAACTTAAAACATCGCCCAATATTTATATACTTTGCTTCATTATTCTTTCTGTTTTGTGCTCAGATAAAAACTGCCTAACACTGTTGCTCTAGTGAGAATCACTCTAGTGACATAAACAAATGTCAGACATACACAAATCCCTTTTCCTGACAGCTGCTGTGAGTCTTGATGACGGAAATAATTTGCGGCTGCGGCACCCGTCCTGTATAGAATTGAAAGCAGCATGATCCGGGCGTCATTTCTTTCAAGGCTTGAGCTGGTAAAACAAAACAAAACAAGAATCATTTAGCATCACGCAGCATCAACATGTGTGTTGCTGCATGCTGGCAACATCACGTCTGCCTGAAGAGAGATATTCAGTGCACAAACACAAGTCTTAACACTGATTTATCAAACTGAACTGAGTGCACTGACTGAATCTTAGGTTAGTATTATAATGTGTAAGGCTTATTTCTGCTCTATCATTCTCATATCATTAATATTTATTGATGTGTACAGCTTATTTCTGCACAAATGTTATCCTTATTCTCATACATTATATTTCTTTCCTTTTTTTGCACTTGCATTTTTACATATGTTTTTAAAATTTCCTGTATTTTGTTATCTACTCTATGTGCCTCTGCAAACCTATAGATTCTGTGCTTTGACTTCACCTTTATTTACTACAGGAATTCCAGTAAACTAAATATAACTCAAAGTATGATTGGCAAAATATGCAATCGCAAATGACAAAATATAGATTTAACTAAGAAATTTAAGTGAGCTTTGTCAGTTCACTGAGGGAGATTAAGATCTCTTTTGCATTTTTCTGGGAATTTGCAACTATTTGAGTTTTTATTATGCAAATAAAAGCTCTCACAGGCCGATTCTTGTCTACATTTTTAGGCCAGTATATACAGCTATAATCATTTTGTCAAATTAAGAATTGTTACTGTTTTTTTTAATGTAATTTAATAGTAAACTGCATATAAAAAATTAAAAATATGAAAATTTAAAAATCCAAAACCTGCTCTAAAACAGGGGTGGAAGGGGGTGGTATTTAAATCACATAATCAGATATGTTAAGAATAAAGAATGCATGAGGTAATGGTATCAGGTGTTGTATATGTATAAAATGAAATAGTAAAATTTTAAAAGGTCATTGGAAGCCTAATCCAGAAAACAATTGACATCTCTCTCCACTATGATTCATAAATGAGACTGACAGACTTACGCATGGCAGTGCAGTAAACAGTGAGCAGCAGCATGAGTCCCACTGTATTGATGAGAGCCTTCATGATGTCCTCAGTGCAGACGTGATGATGCTCTTCTGTCTGTGCTGTATGAAGTGATTCGCTCTGATCACTACGTGTCTTATAGCTGCTTACATGTTCTCATGCTACAGCAATTCTAAGAAAAGGACCACAGTGGGTGTTGTCACAGTGTTGAGTGACAGGAAGTTTGAGGGTCACCTTAGGATGGCAAGATTAACAATTGACGAGATTGAGATGTTGAGATGTTAATTACAACACAAACAGATAATAAGTAGGATAAACATTTATATCTGATGAAGCTGAGAACTTTTACTTTGGAAGCAACGAAAAATGATTTTAAGGTTAAAGATAGAGTTATCAGCCTGGTTTGGTTCACTGTCCAACATCCACCGCAATCCACTAAACAAAATCATAACAATGAGCAGTAAAATAATCGGACTGGCAAAGGAACCACTTCTCAGCATCTACAATAGAAGGACTAAACAAAAAGGTTTTCAGATAGCTTCAGACACCACCCACACACTGCACAGCCATTACAAACCCCTACCCTCAGGTCTCAGGTACAGATCTCTTGCTTTTGAAACAAAGAGAGCCATGTCCAGCTTTGTACCCTCATCCATCAGACTATTGAATAACAGCTGATTTGATCTGGTATGTGTATGCTTGTGGGTGTGTGTGTTTGTTTTTCTCTCCTTTTAACATTTGTATTCGTATTTTTAACTTTTTAACATTTGTATTTATCTATTTGTATTTATTTTGTTTAATATGCACTGTCGCTCTTCACAGATTAAGTTCCTCACAGACAAATAAAGTTCTTTGAATTGAATTAAGTTTAGGTTAAGGGTAAAGTTTGTTTTTATGTCAGTGAGGGACAAACATGTGTGTCTGTGTGCCAATAAACTACTAAATGCTGCATGCCGGACCAAGTGTTTTAACTTAGGCCATTTTATATATGATATCAATGTTACTCTATCTTCCTGAACCAAGTAAAAGTGATGTAATCATGAAATCTAATCTTCAAATTAAAAACGTGACAGTAAAATTTCACCACCGTTTCAGTATCAGGTTAGGGAGGGTGTCGTGGCCTCGTTGCTGCGCTGTCTTTACAATAAATGATGCCATATGAAGATAAAGATGCACATCACACCACAGACCAGCAGCCTCTACTGATGCTATCAGGACAGATAGAGATTTTGCTGATGCTGGCATATTAAAGTGTGGTCACACAGCAGCAAAACAAATAGGCTGTGTGAAAATAACACATTTCACACATGCACACAATAAGTTTGCAAGTCATGCTCAAACCTCACTGATCTTATCACAACAAGAAAACAGCTTGCGGTGTAAATTTGTGCAGGGGCTGCAAATCTTCAGAATGTAAAAAAGAAAGAAAGAAACACGCATAGCACATATATTGCATTTGCAATTTTCAAAGATATTGCATCTATGTGTATCTGATTCCAACTGTAACATTATAGTTTTGTTTTGTTTTTGTTTTTTGTCCAAAGCAATGTCCAGTATATCACTGTTGTCATAGCTCAGTGAAACAAGGCAAGGACTCAATCACACAGCTGGCAGACAGAGCAGATGAGCTGAATTCAAAGTTTACATGGGTCAATAATCAGAGCTTACTTCAGCAACAGGGAATCAGACCAAGCAACTGGAGCAGGCGCACAGGTGGCAAAAAATAAATAAATAAGAGAGTAGAGTAATGTCAATAATAGCATTAGCAAGTGTTATCCGATTTTCCATATTTCTGAATCCTGTTTACCAAAAGGTGGAAAATAGAACTGATATGTGAGTGTGAACACTGAAGACAGGTTCACAAGCTGCCCAGCTGTCCTTAGCACAGCTCACCTTGGAGTACATGATATATATCTTACAACAAAGCAGCATAAACAATGTTCTGTTCAGTTAACTTTATTAGTTTATTTAACAGGGGCCATGCCCAACACAACTTTTGAACCAGTTAGCTTGTACAGCTAATTTGCATCTGTGGTCCCCAGGACAACAGTTTGTCGATTTACTAACAGTACGAAACATTATAAAATACACAGTTATATTGGCTTTTGCAGAATGTGCATGATGATGATGATGAAGGATTAAAGCTGTATTAATGAGTGTATTTTACATGAACTTTAACTCAAAGGTCACCGTGTAATGTGTGACTGACATATACAAAGAAAATTAGAGACCATCATTGGGATCACACAAGACCCGGAACAGCTATTTACATCAGCCAGGAGCATAAAATGGAGGGGCAATGGTCCCTTCCCTTCTGCCTACCCTCTTACTTCTGGCCCTTTTGCTCAGACCACACTCATCTTCGAACCTAACCTTCATTGTGATCTCAACTACATCCCTGTAAAGTTTTGTGACTGCATCTTGCAAAATCTGTTCACAGAGAGACACTTTGCAAAATATTTAAAACCACTTCTGTGACAGTTCCTGCTACAATTGGTGTCAGCAGGACCACATTTTGCCTTGATGTCACACAAACACACAGACTAAAAACAGTGCCAGCTGTTGTAAATTAGCTCTGGTTAACCCACAGAACACTAACTGTCCAGCTTCAACCAGCAAATAGACAAAGTCAGTCAGCAGGCCATACAACAAGCCTTTAGCAACTGAAGAGCCATGTTTTTCTCACGAGTTGGCAAAGAAAACACATCTAAAGTGAGAATTAATGTTACATCCAACAGGTCAGATCTGTTGGATCATAGTGAGCAGCATTTGAATGTGTTCCATATCATAGGATAAGATGTTCTGTGGCATCTGTTTAATTAGGGAAACAAAACTTAATAAATTACATTACATTAACAAATTAATTATTATATATGGAAATTAATCTTTCATGTCATCTAGATTGTATTTCTTTAGTTGAAGTCTGCTATTGCCCAACTGTCTGATAATCCATAAAAGGTCTTAACAAGGGAGATGTTTTGTTACACTCTAATAAATGCAATCAGAAAACACACAGAACCAGCAATATAGCTCAAAACGTCAGTCACGTTTTTATTAAAATAGAAAGTCCTCACACATTCTGCCTGAAAAACCAGGCAATAATTCATCACAGTATTATACAATAATACATCTTCATAGCTGCTGACCGCTGCCCTCAGTGTTGTGCAGTTGATTGTAGAGATCCAGAGCCCACTGGAAAGATCCACTGTAGCAGATGTGTTTTCCTCTGATAGTCTGGACTCTGTGAAACATACAGGAGAGAAAACTCAGGTCATCCCTCTTCTTTTGTGTTTTAAGAGTAATTATAAAGCATGCTGTGGCTTTGTAATGATGCCTGGAGGTCATCCATTATTCTATTCGTCATTTCATCTTCAGTTACGAGACAATAACAGCAGCAGAATGTGGCACAAACTTACATGAATGCCTGCTTCAGACAGGAGCTGTGGGTCTTGGTAATGGTGGATACCCTCTTCACATGTATACCGCGGTTGTAAAAGCCGAAGCAGCAGTTTCCAGGTGCCATGCTGATATCAACAGCTGTAGCTGTGAGGAAGGTAAATGGATAAAGTCAATACAAACATGTAAGTAAACAAACTCTGCAGAAGATGAGGCACAAACACAGACACAAACTCACGCATGGCGTCGCAGCAGCAGGCGATGAGCAGCAGCAGCCCCAGAGTGATGCACAGAGTCTTCATGATGCTGTCAGTGAAAGGACGAGGAGGATGATGCTGTTCTTCTTCTCTCTTTGCTGTGATCGACTCTCGGCACTGTGTCAGATATAAATCCTGTCCAGTGTGGAACCAAAAAGTGTATGATGTACGTATGATGTCAGCCTTTCCATCCAAAATTAATCCTACCGTGAGACATCAGGGGAGAATTTCCCCACACCTCCTCAGAACTTCCACTGCCAAGAAATGCTCAGATGACTGCTGGTGTCTGGTGAGGGGACGAAAGTAACAGTTGTAAAGATTAAAATCAGCTACCCGACCACAGAAAACAGAAGAGCCTCTTCAGTATTTAGCTCGTCTACATCTCAGTGCACTTTTAGACTGTGGAAAGGTTATGTAGGCAACAACTGCTTCAAAGTAGGGTTCTAAATAGGGTTGTAAAAAGATATATCTACCCAATATATCTAATATCTAGTAATGCCGAACTAGTAATGACACTGCACCTAGATGAACTACGTTAAGAAAAAGTAAAGATGTCGGCTAATTTTGGATATTTTAGCTAATACGCTAGAAACAGCGTTTTTGGGATGGTAGGTTTTTTGCAGCTTGTAAAATAGAGTTGTAAAATAGGGTCGTAAAAGATACATCGACTGAATATATCAAATGTCTAGCAAAGCCGAACTAGTAATGACACTGCACCTAGATGAAATACGTTAAGAAAACGTAAGGATGATGGTTAATTTCAGATATTTTAGCAAGTTCTCTAGAAACTGCATTTTTGGGACTCCGGCTGTAGAGTTGTCAAATAGTGTCGTAAAAAAGTAAATCTACTGAATATATCGAATATCTAGTATGGCCGAACTATCATGTTATTATTAGTATTATTATTATTGGTGGGAAATTATAACAGAGGAATATAGTTGCCGTTTTAATATCAAGAACACTTTAGTGTTTTTGTGTGTATACAGGACGTTATTGAATCAGGGAATTTGTGTGTCCACCACGAAAAAGGATTCTAATTAACTTACATTTGCATTGTTTCCGTGGTACCGGCACGTAATTTCAACCCACTACGTGCTGCCACCATGAAATGCAGTGTTAAGAGGTTGTGGTCATTTCACGTATTTCTGTGAGATCAGGTTGTTTGAGGACTCCAATTTTGAAGCTTCAAGTTCGCCATTTCAGCTGTAGCCATTTTCAGCCTGTGATGTGGACGAGCGAGGGATCTGAGTAAGAAGCTGAGGACACTATCAGCAGACAGCCTGTCACTCAAAGCAGCCCACCCTTAATTATGTGCAACTTTAATCCTTAATAAAATGAAAACAGGGGAGTTATATATTGTCATGCATGTTAAAATGAGCTAGAGAGACCAAAACTGTTTTTTGTACCAGGCTGCTAACATGCTTATTTCTGCTGTAAAGATG